AAGTAACAGGGTTGTCAAATTCATGAAATATTTTATAAAATCATTTTTCGCGTGGAATTGTATAATATTTTACTGTTTAATATTTATATTTTTTTTTACTTCATTTATATAATTTTTATTTGGTCTCTGTTCCATTTTGGCTGAAAACAGTTTGACCCTATTGAACGGTCACAACCTACATACATATGCAACGGGTTGAGGGAGGTGATTTGTGTGAAAAGGGAATGAAACAAAAAAAAAATAGAATAAAAAACAAACAAATCGAGCGCAGAAGATATGCGTCAGTCTCGTGCGATTAATCAGAGCAATTTGATATCGGGGTGGCTTTAATATCTATTATTTATAGGACATCCGTGAACGGTGCGTTTGGCAGTAAAATTTGAATTTTGTTTTTTTCTTTACCACCCCTCTGTGGGCTTGACGTCGAAAAATACGAGGGTACACTTTTTTTTTCTGAATCTACGCCAATCAGTATTTGTGAAATGAGTTGTGACGATGAGAAAAATTGTAATGATATTTTTAAAAATTTTCAGTGATACTGAAGAGCGAAGTGTTCAATTTCGTATACTCAAAATACACGAAATTTTTATTGGTAGCCGAAAACGCTGACGAGACCCTGGAGAGTGGTTTCTTTGATCTCGAGAATCAGTTGTTGGCACAGTTTTCGGAAAAGTGTCCACACGCTGTTATGGAAACGTCTATGATACCTAAGGAGGAAGTCGCGTTGGAGTGGGTCAGTCCTCCCAAGGGAAACGGGTGTATTTATATGAGGTAAGAGAAAATTTGTTTGAAAAAGAAAATTGAAAAATCGTTTTTCCAAAATCAAATTTTTTTCTTTAATTCCATTTTCATAGAGCTACAGTTATGGAAATGCCCAGTGTCTGGTACATGGATGACGAGGGACTAACGATGAAGGTGTGTCAGGATTCAAAAGCGGACGCTGATGAACAGGGTCCAGTACTTCAGGAGTGTTGCGCCTGCGACGAAGCCAAATACGAAGTCACGTTCGAAGGTCTCTGGTCGAGGAACACACATCCAAAGGTATGATTTAATGAAAATTTAATGATCATTCTCCTATAATGCACCTGAAATAGCATTTTCGTTTTTATTAAAAATTATCCGTGTCTTTTAAGGATTTTCCAAGTAAGGGATGGACAACACGATTTTCCGACGTTATAGGTGCCTCCCACACAGTCGACTACACATTTTGGACGTATTATGGAATTGCGAGCGAGGGATTACGTCAGGTTGCTGAAATCGGCTCGACACGAAAATTGGAATCTGAACTGAAGAGTCAAGTGAGTCATTCTTACGCAATTGGTATAGCTAATCGATAACCTCTAATATATAAATTTTTAGTTGATTTAAAGCTAACCGACAATTTTTTATAATCGTATTTCTGGCTCCAACACGGTCAAATGGCCGCTGGATGGTACGGTTAGTGTTAAGAATATCGATAAATCGTTATTGATTTATTTTCAGAGCGATCACATCAGAACCATAATAAAAGCACGTGGCATAAGTTACCCTAATGTCACCGGTAAAACTTTTGCGGTTTTTCGGGTAGACCGGAAACATCATCTGATGTCTCTGGTTTCGATGATCAGTAAGAAAAGAATAATAATAACTATACCTTAAATTTCCTTTTACTCTTTTACGTCTATCGACTGTATTAATCTTGTGATATTAATTTTCAACAGGTCCATCACCCGATTGGATAGTTGGCGTTTCAGGATTGGAACTTTGTTTGGCAAACTGTTCCTGGATTCAACACAAAGAGCTTAATTTGTACCCGTACGATGCGGGTACCGATGACGGAATCACATACATGGTGAGGTGACAGCATTATAGATACATATCTATGGAAAGCTTCTAGAGCGAGGAAACACGCTTAGAGAAAATATTAAAAGGGATAATTTGGCAGAGTGGTTAAAGAAAAATATCGATAATAAAAAGGGAGGAGAGAAAAAGAAATAAAACGAATAAAATTCTTTCATGATTTTCATAGCAAATACGGTCTATGAGACATCAAAGGTTCTTTTCAAGGAACTTTTTTTTTCCTTTTTTTCCCTCTTTCTCTGTATGTCCTGCCCGGCTGTACCAGTATCTTTTTTCGTGATTTCTACGTATTAGTACAGCACGGTGAACTCGGCATGATTACTTGAATGGTACTTAATGACGAAATCCTGAAAAATTGACAGGTCATTTATTTACCTTTTTTTTTTAAATTTAGTCACCTGACTCTCCCACGGATCCTCCAGAACCAATTCGCAAGATAACTTCGAGCTTCCCAAACGACACTCGCTCGCCGTTTTACGATCCCAGCGGGGCAGAAATGAAACCGATTGCCAAACTTTACCTGAATCGTCAGCGACTCTACGAGAAGACCTGCGACGAAGTGCCAAGTGATGGTGGCGTTCCAGGTACTAAGCAACGTCCAGGAAACCCTCACAGGGCCTGGAGCTAGTACAGTTTTCTATGTTGTTGCTGACTTCGTTTTTTTGTCACTTTCAATTGATTATTTATGTCACTGAACATCCTACGTTCATTAAAATTTCACATTTCCCTTCACAGAGGGCTGTCAGGTCACGTCCTGGGGACCTTGGGGTGCTTGTTCAGCAAGTTGTGGAAAAGGCGTGAAATTGCGACAAAGACAATATTGTGTCGAGATTGACCAAGTATCCAGCAAATGTAACATGAAGTTGACGGATCGTCGTGTCTGTCACAAGCAACCCTGGTATTTTGTTTATTATTACTCAAATTTGTAGAGAAAAAGAAGGAAATTATTTTTTATTTCGCTCTTCTCTCTATCAGCGAACATAACAGATACTACGGAGGCACAAGTACAGGAATTTTGAAATCTGATATGTGTGCTCTGACCGAATGGTCCGAGTTGAGCCCGTGCACGACCACCTGCGGCAAAGGAACCCAAACACGTTCTCGAAATTTTCGCCACAAGCAACATCGGAAGAAATGTATGGCGGAGCCAAACAGCCCGGAACTCCAGCAAACTTTTCAGTGCGACAATCCAAAATGCACTGATACGGATTCCGAGGAGGTAAGGGAAACAGATGATACGACGGAAGGAACTGAGGAAAACGAGGATGAGGATGAGGATGCGGGTGAGAATGCGGATGAGGAAGCTAGCAATTACCAGGATTACGAGGAACATAACGGGAAAGTATATCGTGCTGCGAAGCTAACTCGGGATGCTGAGGTCGAGAATATCGAGGAATGGCAGCAGGTACAATTTTTTCGCGTCAAGACACTTTGACCATATATTTTTTAATTGTTTCACTCGTTACTGGAAAAAGTTCAAGTTTTCATAATCAAATTCATCGACGGTCACACAAGCATTGCTTTTTTTTTTTATTGATCGCCAACGTCATTTTGACAAATTAACTATGCATAATCGAATCATATGCATGTGAATTTGGATCGACAGTGGGAACCTGCTCCATTTCTCGCCAAAAAAACGTTTAAAATAACCATCCATGACATTCTCACGTAAGTCACTCCAACGTTATCGTCAATGACTGCAATTTTTGTCTCATCTAAAAAGAAACAAAGGATGGACCTAAGGACTAATGATTTAATCAATGGATATTCGAGTTTTGGTGTTTATGAAAAGTTTTTAACATTATTACAGAAGTGTCCAAGCTCTAAGTTTACCGAATGGTCATTGTGGTCACCGTGTAGCACAAGCTGTGGTCCTGGCAAGAAAATAAGGTCACGACGTCCGCTTTCAGAGTTCAAGAACTGGAGCTCGCCATACAATGAAAATGACGAGTTTGCGTATCGCCATGATTGCAAAATCGAGGAAGCGTTGTGTACACCACCTATAACTAGTTGTGATTTTACGAACGAGGAGGCTGAACGTAAGAGAGAATAACCTTTGACTTGTAGCGGTTATTGTCATTATATTATGAATGAGGAAATGAGAAAATTCTTTTTTTTTTTTTTAGAAATTTGTAGCGAACCTATGGACAAGGGTGACTGTGATGGTCGCGTGTTGCGATTTTATTTTGACAAGCCTTCCATTACTTGTAAAACATTTCACTATACTTCGTGTGGCGGAAATCGAAACAACTTTGCCACGGTGGAGGACTGCAATCGTACCTGTATTAATTATCAAAGTAAATAATTTGATTATGTGCATGGATATCGATTAGTGTTAACAATAATTTTGATAAGCTTAACTACTTTGTTCGATTTGCATGTAATGGCTACTAATGGTACTAACTTTACTAACAATGACTGCGATACTAACACAGGAGACCTGAGAGCGAATCTTTCGGCTATTATGAAGAATTTCAAAGTTTCCGTGAGCAGTGTTCTGAGTTATCATATACCGGTACAAGAGCAACGGAGTGTAAAAACAAAACGTGAAAAATCTGGTGATTGGTTCACTTAATAATTTTTTATATATATGGAAATCTATTTACTTTGAGTCCAGAGAACTTTTTTTTTAGACTTGTATCGCTCTTTAGTAGAACGATAGTTTTACGTGTTCGTAACGGCCCTTTACTTTTAGGCTCTAAAGAGACTACAGAAAATTTGCTAAACAATGGAATTGAGATCAGTAGTCAAATACTTGATACAGCTGAAGCAAACGATGGAAGGAAAGTCAACTGCAAAGTTTCAGACTGGAGTGAGTGGACGGAATGTCAAGGATGTACTGGATACCGTAATAGAACTCGTGAAATATTGGTACGTTATTTTTATGATAAAGAATTCAAAATGAATGATTAAATAAAAGAAAAACATTTAATACGTATATAATGACAGGTGAAGAATCAGAATGGCGGTAAGAGGTGTCCGAAGAAACTGATCCAGAAAAACAAATGTCGCAACCTACAGCAATGTGGTAATTTCAAATTTGAAAATATATATCGAGCAATACATTAAAAATAGCCAATAACTTTAAAATACTTTTCATAAAATAAGCGTACCTGGATTTCGTGAAATGCAGAAATTACAGGAATCATAAATCCCTACCCAAATATCCCGAAGGTAATTGAACTCGTATGTCTAAATCCGTTACGAATTCACTGTGCGTAGGTATGAAAACATCAGTCGTTCCGTTTGAATTTTAGAATCTGTCGATTGCGTAATGACGTCATGGTCCAACTGGTCGCGCTGTGCTGCCACCTGTGGAGAATCCGTGCAATATCGTTGCAGAAGGATTAAAATCTTCCCCAGGGGTCCGTACGGCAAGTTATGCCCACACGTCGTTGAATCTCAGCAATGCCATTTACCACCTTGTCCTTTGTATTATCACTCGTCCAACGATGCATTACGTAACACGACGTACGATAATGCTATCTATCCGGAGCAACGGTAGAACTATCTATTTAATTTATTAAAGTAAGTTTAATCGCATAACTTGTCTACAAAGTACGTTACGAGAACAGCTGTGTATTGTTAATTGATAATTGATGCTTATCAATTGTGACAAAATGGTGGTCAGAGTATTGATAGGCTTTAATTAAAAGTTTCATCGTCAACATTGCATGGGCAGAGTTTTCAGTAGGTTTCGCGTTTTCACGATCAATTACACAGATAATAATCAAAGGTTATACGTAAAAGATCAAAGATTACGAGACATAAAAATTATTATCGTACTATTCTTAGCGGTTTAACATGTAGATATAGTACTGCAGGACTATATCAAAACTATAATTAGTTAGACGAGATTTTAAGGAACTTTCCAATGAACTTATCGTTCTTTTCACTTTATGAATAGAAATAATCTTGACGAGTTTCTTAGTTTCATTTCGCGTCTTACAGATGGAGGCACTAATTTTGTTAATGAAGTGATTATGGCGTTTGACGTAATTTCACTATTCGAACTGATTTTTTCTTATTTACTAGAGGCCCACTGTACAGACTTAAAAGTTCATGAATGACGTAAGAATTATTTTTTATTTATCGGTTTCAAATCCTAAACTTGTAGATTAAATTAACGACACAGTACGTTAGGAAATTTTTAAATAAAAAATTGTCCTCTTCTACCATCCTCGTAAGAAAATGTCATTTCGTTGACCCTTGACACTTCAGTACTCGTGTGGGTAGAGACAATCCTATGTGCCAGTGGGGAGGTCGTGCGGGGTAGTCCGTTGGCTGTGGGTAAAGTCCTATTTGTGCTTGTGCTTTGGGGTTGGCTTCACTTGGGGTAGACGCGGGTGCTATTGAGCATGCGGGTTGCGTTTAGCTCGGCTATGACGGGATTCGCATTGTCGACGGTGGCGATGATCACAAAATCCTATTTCCAGACTCGCCGCTACGATTTAGCGCCATGGTTTTGGTATCGCCTAAAACCGTAGCGTTGTGCATCTTCCTATTCATCGCTGCTAACTACGATAACTGTGCTATCTACGTTATCGTCGTCGTCATCATCATCTTCATCATCATCAGGAAGATCATTTAATGATAAAAATGAAAATAATTAAATTATTTTTTTAATCATTTGCAAAATGATTGTTCGCCCACTAAGATGTATGTGTAGATAAGTCTTTTATTTTCATATACAATATTGTTCCGTTTTTCTCCTTTCGTCAATTCTCATAATTTTTTAAATACATCGAAATATACAAATTCCTCGACAAATCAGCATCTCGACAGAGGGACTCCTTTATATTTACTTTTTTCTCCCAATTTCTCTTCTCCTTCGTTCTCTTGACTTTACCACAGACGATAATAAAAAGTAGTGCAAATCCAGATTTATTTCTATTTTCCTAAACTCTTTGTCATAGTCCTCGTGATGCTTATTCATTTACAATTATTTTCAAAGTTTTTAAAATTTTTTAAATCATACCTACACTCCTTGCTCACCTACACATATGCGCTCGCCACTAATCTGTACGTCCGTATACATGTATATACCGCATGTATTAATACATTATTATACAATTGAAGTATAAAATAAAAACGTATATAAACCTTATGCTTAATGTTAAAAAATAAGAGATCTAGTATGGACAAGATGAAATACTGAAAGTGTATAAGCCAGGCTCGCTCGAAGCATCAGCTCTCTTCCATTTTTTTCCATAGTTTTTATTATTCCTCCTGCTACCGACAGATGGCACTGATCCACGAATCCAATAGCCACCGACATTCCGAAAGACTGGTGCTTCCCTTTGTTTTAGTTTATTGGAATTTTCGTTATATTAAACGCTTTTCAAAAAATCGACATGTCTTCCCCACCACTGCACTAAGTTTACGTTCCTAGCAAGGAAATATTCGTGATCCTTAAATTTGTCAATTTTTATCGAAATGACAGATCACATTTTTCTCCGTTATCTATACTCCGACCAAATACTTGTCCTTGGTGTACAATACATCTTACGTTAGAATTAAAATCCCTACGAAGCGCAATAAATTTCGCATTCTATTTATTCTTCGTGTTTAGTCTTCGGTCTTCATGCGCATTACTCGATACGGCGATTTCATTGTACAACAGCATTTTTCACGATACACTACAGGCTTTTCTCGTTTACTCTACAGCCATCTTACAGTAGACATCCTCAACAGTACACAACGCGTTTTTCTGTTTCAATACACTCATTATATACGGTACATATTCCAATCAGTACAAAATATACCATACAGTCGACACAACACTTTCCCCAGTATACAGCACGTTTCACAGATACACGCTCGTGGAACATTAAAGTTACCTTGGTGTTTATCCGTCTTTTTTTTCCTCCCAACGAATAGTACAACATTGATAAATCGAACTTATGCTACGGAATTTGGCTCGATTGTTCCACGGATACAGATCGCTTCGCAAGTAAAATAGTCTTGATGCATGTATTATTTATATTTTTTTTTCACAAAAAGGCAGTCGCGAGCTTTTGAAGATTTTATGCAATCGATGCATGGTTTGTCGTCACAGCAAAATTGCTTGTGTGCAGAATGATTTATTCCGAAAAAAATGTATGTATGTACGCTTTACGGGACACCAAAAATCGATGATCTTGATAGGATTTGAATTATTTTGGTTTTTGGATAGGGCGCAGTAGTGACAAAAAAAACAAAGGATACAGTATGTATACTATTTAAACAGTATATGTATAAATTTTCTTGGACATAAGGAAGAACACAATGCATTTCTTTTTCCTTTGGAATACTGTATAAAAGGAACGATTTATATGATTTTTCGATTTTTTTTTTCCTTCACCCTCATCCTTCTCGTCAATCAAAAATTCGTACACGTAATACTTAGTGCACGAACATATTATTTTAGAGTACAGTTAAAAATAAAAAGATACAAAATCTTTGTATATAATACTGTATAAAGGGAAAAATGTTAATGGCATTTGCTGTTAGTTTCCTTTTTTTTTTGGTAAAAAAAATTATACGCTCTACGTATACTAGAAATTACGCAAGTTTATTACTGTATACAGTATGCACGCAATTAGTACGGAACTACACCGTCGAGCGTCGTGTGAACCGTATGAAATGTTAATTCAAAAATTCTCAAAATACGAATCTCACGGGCAGCTGCTTTGTTAAAGCGTATACGCGTTTTTTACACTGTATGCAGTAACAATTGTATAACAATAAAAATACGTTTGTATAAACGAATATTGGAAATGAAAGAGTAGAGATAACCAGAAATACGGTGACAAAAATTCAAGCGTACATCTCGTCCATGTATAATTTTTTGGTTTTTCCTTTTTTGTTTTTTTTTTATTCATTTTTCGTGAAACCCATCGACACTTTCATCACGCGCTATCACGAGGACATAATAATTAATGATAATTATACAGTAATTGTAAGGTAAATGCTAGTCTCAGTATAACTGTCGTTTCCCACGTGCAGAGAGCAGAAAGTTATTCAATTTTTTTCCCCTTTTCTTTCACACACGCGCACGACGACCAAATTCTTGCTACTTTGGCATTTATTTTGGACCATTGGTCAAATCTTAAGCTCGTATCCTATAAACTTAACTTTCCAGTTTCTGTTACCGACTACCCCACTCCCACTCATATTACCAGTATAAAAAGAGATAAATAAAGTAAATGACGAAGTTTCTTTTTTTTTTTTAAAAAAAAGAAAATATTGTTGTCATTCTTATGCACGGTAGAATGACTGTTGCGTGTAAAATTGCCGGAATTGTCAATTGACTCATTGTAGTAACACGCCAAAGTATTGTTTAAAAAAAATACAGTCGAAAAGACAGAAAAACGTGTCGGAGGGATAAAAATTCGTCAGTCCATTTTTTTCCGATTAATTATTTTTAAGTTTGTACTACGATCGGTCGGTAACTAATTATTATCGGCTAATTAAATATACATTTTCAAATCTCAAGAATGTGATCGATACCGATTCTCTATAGGAATATTTAATGGCGAGTGGTAATTCGAGCTTTTTTCATGTTTTTTTCGATATGTGTAAATTATCCATGAAAAAAACCATTGTCATAATAAACAATAATTTTGTTAATAAGAACAAAACTAATTAACAGCTATCAAGGCAGCATACTTGTAGCATTTCATTTTTTGTTTAAAACAAAAAACGAATGGATAAATCATAAGTGATAAATTACTTTAAATTCCGTTTTTTTTTTGTATATGACGTTCTAGGAGCTAACGAATGCAAGTAAGAAATTATACTGGGTCCTTGTCGCGTACAGAAAAGACTGTTTCTTATGAAAAATAAAATAGAGTTAAGATAAAAATCAAGAGTCAACTTGAATAAAGTAATTAATGTCTACGATTCGAATAGGGCAATAACGGTGCTTTTAACAAATATAAAATATAAATAAATATTCTTTGGTGCTAGCAAAAATAGCCGCTTATTAAATATAATATCTCATGATTTGTCGCAACGCTGTCCAGTATTGAAAACAAAGTAATAAGCTGCCTCTTATGCATTCTCTAGAGGCGAGACAAATGAAATTGTGATTAATGTATAATGTTACAGTATAGTTCTTATATGATGTATATGCTACGTATTGGTGCAAAATATAGACACTGAAATGGTCTATTCCGTATTAATGGTATATAATAAAAATGTTGCTGTTACTCGATAGATTAATTGCAATTTAGTGTTATTAGTTATTTAGTTAAAAAGCGAGTCGCGAGAAAGAAAACAATAACAAAGATTTGTCAAAAATAAGTATCACTGTTTAAGAAGCAATGACATAATGTTTTGCTCCTGTCGAATCGTAGAGTGAATGATAAACATTGTTCGTTAAATAAAATAGCCTTATTGAACAAAAATAAAAAAAACAGAACAAAAATATATGTAATAAATATAATTAAACGATAGTCGGTGGTGAAGCTTCCTTTTTCTGTGGCAACTACAATAAGTTAATGTATACTAATTTAAATAGCTGTTTTTACTATAAAAATCAGAGAGCTGATATACTGTCTCGTTTGGCAAAAATATAATAAAAAATAAAAAAAGAGAGAATATTCAAAAGCAAGAAATATAATCAAAGACAAAAGCCCGTATTCAGAACTCGCTTTTAAATTTTTTCTTAGTGACTCTCAACTACAAGCGACTCTGTTAGTGACTTTAAGAGCGAGTTGTGAATACGGGCTAAAGTCTTCACAACGTATAATAATTCTCCGCTTAAATTGGAGAAGGTAGAAAGAAGATAAAAACGATTCCATGCAGTCAATAAAAATTCCGGATTCGTTTTTCCATCCCCTTCCTTCTCTAAATGCTTCTGGAATGCTGGTTCATGATTCTGATTGGTAGACTCCTTAAAAGAGACTACGTAAGTTCGTCCTGATTGGCGCAAATCCCTCAACGCTATGTTGACACTTTGGTGTTAAAATAAATGTAGTCTCTACAGGCCTAATGCCTGAAAATTGCAAATATCTCGAAATTGAACTTGAATCACTGTCTCGTGCGATTGCGTGGAGTGTTTAAGAGCCAACAAAGAGAAATATTCTTAAAAAACTAAAAGCGCCAGTGTCTTAAATATCAATTTCGAGGCAAATTTCCTAAATTCTTGGCTTGTATGTCAATGTGACATGAAACGTTTGTACATCCATTTCGGTGCAATCTTGCGGCCCAATAGGAGTCTCCGAATTATGATGAATCGCGACGTCCTTACCCTTTGAAGCGTCGATGTCAGCGTGTAAATCCTCGCTGTTCTTCGACATTCTTTCCATTGGTTGTTCCACCGATACTCTCACAGCCTTGGCCTTAACCGTTTCCAATGATCTCGATTTACTCGTATCAGACGCTCGCGCCTTGGCGCCATTTTCTTTGTTTCTGCGTGAAGAACTACGATGCAACCTGGATTTCTCACGCGACGACGTTCTTCGCAGACTGGAACGCTTTACGGAATCCGCACTTGCACTCAATCCAGTAGCTGTAAATAATACAAAAGCATATAAAGCTTTGCCCTATTGTTAACATATTTGACTAATAATTAATATCGAGGTGTAACTTACCTATATTCCCAGACGACGATTTATTCGAACCACGTAATATGTGCATTGCCGTTGGATCACTGTCGGTAGTCGCTAATCTTTCACCAACTGGAGTAAGGAACCACTCGGACCTGGTGCGCATCCTTGCTGTTTGGCGCTCGTGTACCTATTGGCAGAAAATAAAATCTAACCGTTTAAAGTAGTATGATAGCTCATTGTCATGAAAGGTAGAAAAAGATACATACCGTAGTGATTTTAAAAAAGTATAACAATGCGAGTGTCTTTGGTTATTACAATTCTTTTCTTCTCCCCCTTTATAATAAATTTCGTACCCTCAACCTTGTTGTCGTTTGTCAGACTCCAAAATAATTTAATCGGTTTGTAATGTCAATCGAATGAAGGACGTAGGACGTAATGCAATCACTAATTATTTTCAAGAACAATGGACGAAACGTAAATTCGACATGCACCGTGCAAAAGCTAATGATTGTGACATCGAAAAAAAATTGAATTAAAGAAAAGCAAGTGCAAGTAGGGCAGATTGAAAATAACTAGTGTGCATTGCAAAAGCGAGTAAGGAGAATTAATAGGTGAATGCATTGTGCTGAATTAAATTATATTCGGTGTACATGAAAATTCTTACAGACAATAGTAACGCTACCCTAACAAACTAAACAGTCTAGAGCTTACCGACTAACATTAATGACAGTCATGCAGGATTTATTAGACAGCAGCAAAACCTACTTTATGTACAAAATTTACTTAGTTGCTTAAATAAATATTACATATATGTATAGCTCAGATCCATCGCAATTGATGGATCATACGCAGGAATGTTTTTTGGCAACGCAAGAGACAATACATTTGTGCTATCAATTATCAATTGACAATAACTGGAAAATGTCACTGTCAAATTTTCATTGACTGTAAGCAACTTAAATAAGAATGAAACGAAAATAATAACTAACAAGCCAATAACAAACATATTAGTATCGAGAAGTAAAAGTCAGACTTTAAGAAGTGCGTTGCACATTAATTGATCTGTTAATTATTGAACACAATTTACAGAATATGTTTTTTGGTTCGCACACCGATGAGTCTAGCCGCCCATTAATTGATAAATTTGATTATCTCTTTTTCGTGAATTTGCAAATCAGTCAAAAGTGTTGCATTAGTCAACGAATCAGCGCAGATTTTCCTTTTTATTTACAAGAATTAATATTAACAGGGAGCAGCACGAGTGGTGCATTAATTAAAAAGCGAAGCATAAATAAATCTTGTTTAAATATATTGTGATGCAACAAAATCTTAATATGATTCTTTCCTAATCAATTTCATAGTTATCATTGGAATAATTATATTAATAAAACAGAAAACGCACTAAGGACATTAATGTTATTAATGTTAACGTTAAAATTATATTAATTGACGATAAACAGACTAACGATCTATAGGAGGTGCGAGACGATTACAAAAAAAAAATAGAAAAGCACATTAAATCTTTGGCAATTAGAATTCTCGAGCTATGAAAATCGAGACGCGCGATTGGTCTACTTCAGATAGGACAATTATAGGACTCAAAAATTCGGTCAAAAAAAAGTATTATAACAAAAATAGATAGCACAGTCTTCACTATCTTTCCGCTGCAACATGGCCATTTCGAATGTATGCTACATATAATCTACGATAATGTATCTATTATAAATAATGAATTTGATCGTCGCAAGCGTAATGAATGATGGTACAACAGAAAGCAATATTCGATTATATCATCGTACAAAAATATATATATATCCTATTCCAATCATATAGAAACTATATCATTATTTCTCTGCGATCTTCTATTTTCGCATGTAAACAATATCTGCATTTTCTTTAATGCTCAATGTGAACAGGTAAATTTTTTCAAGCTTCGCCGACGCTTACCTGCGGCAGGTAGCTGAGACTCTTGGTACTTTCAGCATAACGATTCACGGCCCGCAATTCGTCTAACGTCATTCCAGCATGACGTGAATGATGGCTGCCATTGCTGGAGGACCGGCTCGAAGCCTAGAATAAGCAAAAGTACAATGACGTAAGAAGATAATTTCTTAAGCTTTCTAAGTACAATCAAAGTAAATAAGACTTAATTTACCTGGAATAAACCGTTTTCCTCCAGACTGACTGATAGTCTTGTGTAACTTTCAAGTAATGTATTCTCAGGTATCATACCGAGAGATGACGTAAGTTCAAGAGATTCTGGCACATGTATCAAAGCAGGTGTTGACTGTGACTCTTCTTGATGGGACATTGCTGTGAAATGGCGGGAAAGAAAAAGAAAAAAGTTGTATAATTTCTTTTGATCTTAGGATGTGTGTACTATTCACTAACACGTGGAAGACATAATGATGTGGTTGTTACTTACATTCTAAATTTAACTTGAGTCCCCATCTTTCACACTCGTACTGCAACCAAGTCTTTTCAGCTTCCAACGATAATTGTCCTGAAGTCATGAAATCAGATATGTTTATATATTATTATGTTGACCAATAATGTTCATTATATCATTGTACCTATTAATAACAACTCACTTGAAACCAGTGTGTCAGGAGGATATCGAAAACTGAAAATCCAGTCTTCCTCAACCTTCAATATCCTTCCAGTGATGCGAGCGTAAAATTCATAGTTCTCACGTCCAAATAAATTTGATACCCCAAAATTGTCTATCATGAATTTCATAACTCGCGTGGCCACCTAACAGATAAAATAAACACAAAAAGAACAACCTTAAAAGTTAGTACAGCTTGAGGGTTCTTTTCAAAAGGACGGTAAATGGTGGCTAAGTAATTTTAATATTTTTTGTTTTTACTCTTTTTATATCAGTCTTATTCATTTTCCAAGTATGTATCAGAAAATTATGGAAGCATGCAGCAATTATATGCATGATGCGTCGATATGAATGGGGTAAGAAATAGGTGGGTAGAGGGTAGAAGATGGAAGAAGGCGATGGGCGTCAATTACTAATCCTGTTAAAATGAATCATGCGGACAAAAAACTGATTCACATTTAATGAATATTAAATCGGGAAGATCTTTTCGTTCAACCATAAAACAATGGTCGATGCATGGGGAGTACATATGCGTATTTATCCTTTTTTGTATATCATCCTGAAAAGTTTACTGACGGCGACATTCCAATGGCAAGACTAACTATGGGCACGTACATGTCTCATACATGGCCGGTGCTGTTTAATCAATTGAGTACAAAGGGGATGCACAGCATAAAATAGAGCAAACGTATAGAGGATGAATAAACACATAACACGATTGTCAGACTGTTAGTTTGTTGTTAACTTACTGAGACCTCCGCCTGGCAGCAAACACAAAACATCATGAAGGAATGATCATACTATTCGTGAACTTTTTCAACGGGATTTAAAGCTTCTTAATATAAGAATAATAGTTTTATTTATTATTGTCCTTTTAAATTGGACACGTTTTAGTCTTATTTTTTTAGTTGGTTCAGGGTGTTGGACTGATATATATACATATATAAACGTACAGAAGGTATCACGATTTTGAGATGTCAAAGATCTAATATATTGCAGATGTCGAACTAAAGATTTTTGCTTTTCAAATTAAAATTTGTTAGACCTTTGACATATCGAATTAGAACAAAATAAAACAGCATTCCTTTCAGAAGGAATTAATTAATCGTTCAATAAGAATGTCGACACTTTACCTTAAATCTGAGAACGTCTTCCATTTTCGCAGTTTTTCCATCGCTCACGCAACTCTGGAAAAAAGATGGAGCAACGGAAACACCTAGTGCCTCGCTGGACATTCCTGTGCGAGCCCTTTCGCTGTTAACTGCTACTACCCTAAATGTGCCGAACAATAAAACCAGCAACCGTTGTGTATATACTGGCAGAGATGTGATTAATCTATAAACAGATAAGTAGTTGATGGGATGATAAGAGAGGCACTAAATATTTGTAAATTTTATAGTGGTCACAATATAATTATACAAAATTAAAAATACATAAATATGCTCACCTATGAATCTGGTCCCTTTGCTGTTCGATACTATCGAGTTGAATAACAGTAAATAATTGTTGTTCCCCCTCGCGGCCGAAAACTCCGCCAGGTATCTTGCGGAGGAATTTCTTCAAGACACTAGCTATCGTGTAAACGCTGAAATTGTCCATATTGACCAGACGACCCGTTTGTAAAAAGTGAATCAATTTCTTCATGTTTCCTTGGTGTCCTGGTGCGCGAAAAACATCTTTTCGTAAAGGTGCTTCCTTGTTTAGCTTCAGGATAAGAACCTGTAAAAACAGATAGCATCAATTTTATTAGATTTGTTAATACAAAAATAAAGTATAGCGAATAATACGACTTGGAAAAAATTTGTTTTAATGGGGACTTATAAATAACTGATTCATAATGTTGATGTTTTACCAATAATGGGCCAGGAATGTCATTCTTGCAGACTTCATCAAGAGGTACTCCAAATTTGACTCTAAACAAAAGAATAGAGAAACATGAGTGTAAAGAATAAAAAATTTAAACATAATTATTATTGAATATAGATTTCTGTGTGATGAACAGAAAATACAAAGATTGGCCCAATGTTACTTTATCATTGATCATAATATAAGATAAACAAATCAATATAATCTATAATTCGATTGACACTCATGCATTCTTATCAATCATAGTACTAATATTACTAATTAAACATTAGTAAGTTATCATGCTTTGGCTGATAGAGTAACAAGATAAAGCTTTAAAATTCTAAATACAAAACAGCACATTGTAAAATTATGACAAAGCTGTTTCTGCTGAGCAATACTGACTTCTCTAGTCTTCTGGGATATGGTGGAACATTTGAAGGGTGGCCGCAGCTGGTGACAACATTGCCCAACGTAGCGGCCCTCCTATGCATTCTCTCTGTCCAGCTACTCATTCTCTGAAATCTTTTCCACAGATAGCTGCTTCTGGATAAAGTCTTCTGGAAGTGATTCCGAAGACTCTATTGTAGTCTACTGAAGTATCAGTCTGACGGTGTAAGGATGATCCTAATGATTGGTCTCGAAGACGCTGCTACCTAGGACGGACTGGCAGCAGCGGTATTTGGAATCTGGTTAATACTAGCATAACCTAAATTTCTTTGGGGCCCAAAATGAGGCTTCAAAACATTCCTTCTATTGAGGTGCGGCCAGGAGGCCGCGGTCTCGCTGGCCCTTCACGTTTTCACAGCACACACGCGCGCTTCCCGCGACGACATTTTTTCCATCCACGGAGGCTGGAACTTTTCCGTGTTAATTGATGTGCGCGCAGAACGCAACGCCAATACGATAACACATGTCAAAGGCGCAAATTAACCACACCTTTTCTTCATCTCACTTCATTGTCGAAAATCAATATGGCCTAGAGAGGACAGTAAAACTCACTACTGGAGGGACCGCAAGCCGCAAGACTGGTTGGCGTATACGATTCTAGTATAAAATAATGATACGTGAAGTTGGTGGTATTCTGTTATACGTTGACAACTGTGGGTCATTTACTTCCTAGATGGAAAAAGTTACTAGAGGATACAACTTCGCAGGAAAGAAATAATTCAAATTTGAAACTTAGAGTGTGAACCAGTTTTGAGTCATGGCATCGGTTATTCTGTATAAAATTAATTTTTTATTGAACTATGTTTTGTTACAATCACAATGAGATCATTTAATATTTCTTTGGAGACAAAATTACATATTTTCCTGTGTGCAAAAATTGTGGACAGACTCGTTTATTTTGTAATAGGTACTTTAAGAAAATACTGTTCGCTCAGTTGCACACGAGTCCTGCAATTATAAGGTTATATGTATAAATGATATATTTATTACAGAAAAAAAAGGTGAAATAGGAATAAATTTTACCAAGGTAATCATCCATCAGCGTACCAATAGCAAACTGAAATAAAAGACATATGACTTTAAATTGAGAACAATTGCTTTGCAATTATTAACATTTTGACGGCCGTTGTCACGTATACGTGATTTCATTTTGCCATCGGTTGTTGCCGGCAGGCGGTAGGATCTATGCGAGACGCCGGTGGTAAAAGTCAATGAGTCAAATGTACGGCCGTTAAAATGTTAATCTATCATAATTTCAAAACATACAATTCCAGTAGCATCTACTCTGGTTCCAACAATTTTTAATCGAATTTCATCATCTGCTTGTATCACCACGTCCTGGAATTTAATAGATATAGATTATTCTTTGTGTGGTAACAAAGTTCAAGCAATAAAAATACAATATCAAATCTTACCTCTTCCTTTGATTTGTAACAGGGTGGATTTACATTTGGACAGAATTGCATATCTGATGGAATAGACTAAAATGGCATTAAACATGTGGAAATTAATAAAATAGTCAAATGTCAAGAAACATGGTATTATTGGTCTGAAATGTTTACATACATGATGAGATATGAAGCATGACAAGGGTCCTATTTCTGCAAACATCCCAACCTGAAACCAAGAACAAAGAGATTTCTTTAATGATTGCATGTTCTTGATAACTTCATTTGCATTTTTTTTGTGTTATATACATACTTTGTTCACTTGTGTAACAATAGCATCGAGTACTTCACCTTTAAAAGGTCGGAAAACAATAGCTTTATATTTAACAGGATAAACCACAAATCCTTGTCCAGGCTGAATAATACCAGCTCCTATATTGTCTATAGTTGTTACAGCTACAACAAAACCATACCTACAAAATTTAATAGCATCAGAAATATTTAAGAAAAATATCTTTGCAAGACTCACTTTCCAGTACAAGTACCCTCGACTTCTGTATATAATTTTTGTTTTACAGTGTCGAGCAACTGTGGTCCAAAGTACCTAGGGTGTAATAAAATTTCATGTTCTAATGATATCTACAACAAATATGATAAGAATAAATTAAACATTTTATGCAAAATAAACAAATGACAAATCTCAATATAGTTTTAACTGCGTTTTCCTTACATGATAAAACATGATTTGTTAAACTCTTTTAGTAATATAATTGAGTCTCAGTTCTTCAGCTTTACTCACATATAATAACTTATGTTAAACATACAAGTGTAGTTGCACCACGGTTAAAAAAAAACCGGCATTTGTTGTATTATACAAAGTCACCATATTGGTTTACTAATGTTATCGAGAAATAAATAGGAATAACAAAGAGGGCAGTATAGTATCGTTGTCTCTCTATTTCTCTCTATTTAGGGTAATGCAACTCATCGTGAGTGAGACACAACCATAGGGCACAATCATTACTGCCAGTGAATTTTAGAACATACCTAAGAAAACAGCAATGGCGTACATACATAATGATTGACATTTATATGAGTTGAGTAATTTCGCCTTTATTAATTGTGTATTATCGAAATAACATATTGAATATATTGCTCTGTATTCAACGTTAATGTTTAATCATGAAAAGTATACTTATTGTTGGAAGATTAATTAATGTTACAGTCGGTAAAATCATTGGGGATAACAATCACCTCTGCCATTATACTCTCTTGTAATGCCTTCTGTTTCCATACGTGTTGTTGCTTTGGAAGAATAATATGTACTTTGAAGTAATTTTATTCGACTTGTGTAACCTATAGCTATTCTTGGAAAAGCTTGACATTTTTTATTGTTTAAAGAATAAAACTCTTTGGCAATTAAGTGAAAAATATGTGCAACGTATTTTAGAAGGCTTCAACTATTTTTTTGATAATTTTTTCTCGAAAACTGCTATGACCTTACTTCTGCAACAATTGTGACAATATTGTAACAATCAAGTGTAATGATTGTCATCATGAGCAACAAGTAGATTTGTGAACTTCTAGTACTATTGGTAAGTTGTTATGGATATCGTATTATTTTATTTCAAAGGCATAAAATATATTCAATACTTTTGGTTTTCAAGACATATGTTTGGATTAAATCATGTGACTCAAGTTCAAACAAATTTTTAGATGATCTTTTGAAGAGGATATGGCTAATCCTCCTAACAACAATGGCCAATCATTGTTTTGGAATTTTGGAGCAACTCGGCCACAAAACGTTGGATACTATAATGTACCACCTCCAAATTTTCCACCACCAAATTTGAACCAACCACCACCTTCCGCATACAATATTCCACCACCATCATTACCTGAGAGCAAACCTTTACCTACTGCAGTAGTATCATTTCATTCGAATCTACCATCTTCATCTTCTGATTATCCTAATGCCCCAAACACATACTACTCTCAGTTCCCATATCAAAATCAACAAGAAGTACCATACAATCAAAATCTATATGTTCCTGGATATTCGCAAGTACCAGGTGCCAATTTTAATTGCAATTGGAATAGCAGAAATCCGTATCGCAATAATGATGGTAATAGCTGGACTCAATATCTAACGCCAGTAAATTGGAATGCAAATGCGCCACAAAGCGAATCAAATCCTCATTGGAACGATGGTAATTCTATACAAAATGATGATAAAAAATCAATACCACAACGGTTTGAAGTGCCACAATATAGTAGGAAAACTGAATGGAGATTTGGTGAGAAAACATCACATGACAGCACAGGAGGGAGACGACGTTCCAGGAGTTCAGAAGGTCGATCCCGTAGTAGTAGATCATCTTGTAGGTCCCGCTATGATGATGAGAGGCACAAATACAATAAATACAGCAAAGAAAAATCCAATGCCAGAGAATATTCTTATGATGGTGGTGATGTAGATAGAAAACCATCACACAGAAGAAATGGTAGTCATTCTTCCTGGTCAAGTGCTGCTACATCTGAGAGGATGAATACAGGCAACAGGAGCAGAAAGAGATCCAGATCACAAGAGTCCCACACTTCCAGATCCTCCCCTACTAGTAGTAACGTTTCAGTGAAACATAAGGGTCTTAGCGAAAGAGAACTTGTTTTAGAAAAATACAGGTAACTTTTCGACAACTTTATCCCTTACTCCTGCGAGCTATCCCTTGATAATTACAAATCACTAATTTTGTGCTCAGGCGAAACTACTGCGCTACCAGTAAAGATATGGAGCGCAAAATGGATGAATTATGCGCTATGGGTCCTGAAGGTATAATGGAAAATGAACGAAAAGTTTGGACGCGCACAGCACCCGCAGATTTATATTATGTCAGAGATGAAAATAATCCAAAAATAATGAAAGGTACTACAAAACTTCGTGAACTCTGTGATATCTTCAAGAAGTTGCTCGTAGAAAGATCGACAGCGGCACGTGCTCTACAGGTAGTGCGTCAGGATATTACATCAATACTTCTAATAATTAAACGATATAAATTAATTCAAAAAAAAACATAATTGGCTCGAAAATTGTTTAAGCCCCCCTATGAGCCACCACCAAGAAAAACACGAGCTCGACTCTGCAGACACAAATCTGAAGCTTGTAGCAGCTCTTCTTCAGATAGCGACAGTTCAATGGATGAAGATGATAGAACAATGGAGGAATTAATGGCAAAAAAACAGCATCCTCAAAGACTACATCCCGAAATGTGGTTCAATGATCCTGGAGAGGTAAAGCAAATCGACAAAATCGTATCCTGAGTATTCGATCCATCAGCATTTATATCGTCCATATATTTACAGATGAACGACGGACCACTATGTAGATGCAGTGCAAAATCTCGCAGATCTGGTATACGACATGGTATCTACGCTGGGGAAGGTGCAATTGCTAAATGCGAAATGAATTCCAACAATGCTGATAAACTTTATCACTATCGTATAACCATTAGTCCCCCTACAAATTTCCTCACAAAGACACCAACGATCATCAAACATGATGAGCATGAATTCATATTTGAAGGTTTCTCTATGCTTTCTCATTTTCCATTAGTCAAACTACCAACATGCAAAGTTATCCGCTTCAATATTGAATACACTATACTTTACATCGATGAGAAGTTACCTGAAAACTTCACAATACAGGAGTTGGATTATTTTCGTGAGTAATATTTATACTAATTTATAATATCCCTATCTTCACTTAAACATAATTATATTATAAAAAATCTTGTACTATTACAGAACAATATTTATTTAACGAGATTTTGGAGCTCGTTGACTTCGACCTAAGAGCAGCTCAGGATAAATCTGGCTGTGGACAATTTCACTTCATGCCGAGATTCGTGCGTGACTTACCTGACAATGGCCAAGAGATATTATCAATGAACGAAGTCTTGAATTATTTAATAAAGAGCAGCACTCTCTTGATCGAACCCGAGCATCTACCTAGATTAGTAGAAATGCATCAGTACAAGTGGCAGAATTTTGCGGATGAGGTAAAAGGAATGGTGGTGACGTATCCTGGAAAGAAACCATGTAGTGTCAGAGTGGACCAGCTTGATAGGAACCAGGGTGAGCAGCCTCCTGGAGTAGTATCGTATCCAGAAATAGTACACTTCGGAATCAGACCACCACAGCTGAGCTATGCTGGAAATGCAGAGTAATTATTCCGCGCGAATGAGCATCAATTGAGATGGTTAATCAAAATAACTAAGAACTAATATTTTCTTTCAGTTATCAAAAAGCTTGGCGCGATTACGTAAAGTTCCGTCATCTTTTGGCAAACATGCCAAAACCATCGTTCGAGGATAAACGTAAATTGGAGGCGAAAGAAAACAAACTTCAAGAGTTACGTACTCAAAGCAAGATGAAGCGGGACGTGATAGTGGACGTTTCTTCAGAAGGATTTTACAAGACAGGAATAATGTGCGATATCGTTCAGCACGCTATGTTGATTCCTGTATTAGTTTGTCATCTAAGGTTTCATAAATCCCTGGACATACTGGAGCGCACCCTGGGATATGAGTTTAAAAATAGATACTTATTACAGCTGGCACTTACTCATCCTAGTTATCGTGAGAATTTTGGTACCAATCCTGATCATGCAAGGAATTCATTAACCAACTGTGGAATAAGACAACCAGAATATGGCGACCGTCGTATCCATTATATGAATACCCGTAAGCGTGGAATAAACACATTGATTAATATAATGTCAAGGTTTGGAGCGAGACGCGAAACGGAATCGTCGATTGCTCACAATGAACGATTAGAATTTCTGGGCGATGCTGTTGTCGAATTTCTTACATCTATACACCTGTTTCACATGTTTCCTGATCTTGAAGAAGGTGGTCTAGCGACTTATCGAGCAGCTATTGTGCAGAACCAACATCTTGCTGTCCTGGCCAAGAAACTTAATCTAGAACAATATATGCTCTATGCTCATGGAAGTGATTTGTGCCATGATCTTGAACTGAGACATGCCATGGCTAATTGTTTCGAAGCTCTTATGGGTTCATTATTCCTTGACGGAGGCATTGAAGTCGCTGATAGAGTCTTCGGTGAGACTTTATTCAAGGATGAAATGGATCTTAGTAAAGTCTGGGTTAATTATCCCAAGCATCCTCTACAAGAACAGGAACCGACTGGGGATAGACAGTGGATACCTAGTTTCGAATTATTACAGGTATTCCTTATTTATAGTTTTATACGAGTAGTGTTAGATCTTGAGTCTTCAAGCTCTATGACTCTTATCCAAATATTTTTCTTTCATAGAAACTTATGAAATTCGAAGAATCCATTGGCGTAGAATTCACCCATATTCGATTATTAGCCAGAGCGTTCACCGATCGTAGCATTGGCTATACGAATTTAACATTAGGTTCTAATCAACGATTAGAATTCTTGGGTGATACTGTTCTGCAATTAATAGTATCCGAATACTTATACAAATTCTTTCCAGAACACCACGAAGGTCATCTATCAGTAAGAATATCTTCCTAGTAGCACTTACTTCATGCGGAAAATAATAGAAACCTAGTAACGATTATATTTCTTTCAGCTCCTCCGTAGTTCTCTAGTTAACAATAAAACACAAGCTGTTGTGTGCGATGATCTTGGTATGACGCAGTATGCCCTTTATGGAAATCCAAAAGCAGAATTGAAGACAAAAGACAGAGCTGATTTATTAGAAGCATTTTTGGGAGCTCTTTATGTCGACAAAGGATTAGAGTATTGTCACGTATTCTGTGATGTTTGCTTTTTCCCTCGTCTTCAAGATTTCATAATGAATCAGGATTGGAATGATCCCAAGAGCAAATTACAACAATGCTGCCTGACATTGAGAACAATGGACGGAGGCGAGCCTGACATTCCCGTCTACAAGTAAACAACCCATATTATTATCTTGCCTCTGTGCTATGAATTATTCTATGAAAGTGATTATTCATCTCTTCATGATTTTTTAGAGTGATTGAGTGCAAGGGTCCTACAAACACACGAGTCTACACGGTCGCCGTTTATTTCCAAGGGAAACGCTTGGCTAAAGCATCAGGCCATAGTATTCAGGAAGCTGAGATGAATTCAGCTAAAGAGGCTCTTGAAAAATCACAAGGTAACAAAATCAATTGTGTAACATTTCTTAAATATCATCGGTTTTTAGTGAGCTTATGTAATCGAACAATTGTTTCTCTTGGCAGATTTGTTTCCCCAATTGGATCATCAAAAGAGAGTAATTGCAAAGAGCATGAAGATGCAGCATTGGCCAAACAGACAAAAGCTGCGTGGCAAACCAACAAAACCAAGTGAGAGATCTGATGACTCTGACTCCAGTCAGCAGCGTAAGCGACGTAGTCGCAGTAGAGAACGGGATCTTCCTGATAGGCGATCTAGGGATCGTTATGATAGTGTTGATCGCAGATGGAAAGATCTTGATAGGAGTGGCGATAGGCATAGGAAGCACAGGAGTCCAGCTAGAAAAAATCGTAGTAGTACAGAACGAACAACACAGAGGGAGTTAACTGATTATGATAACTCTAGAGAACGTGAATATAAAGCGGAAGTTCTAGAGAGGCACGGTAGTTCTGGCGGACTTGAGATGATGGAGCAGAATGATTCTTTTGAACGTGACAGTGTACAGGATAGGGATGGCAATTTAGATAGACATTGCCAGGATGGTATTAGGAAGCGAAAGAGATCAGTAGAAAAAGATACTAGCAGTAGCGATGATGATAATGTTCCTGAACAATACAAAACTAGTAATCTCAAATCGCACTCTGGTAAGAAGACCAGATCTTGAATCATCGGACTCCAATTCTTTAACAGGATACTGAGAATATATTTGTGTGATCATTACGGTGGGTAATTATCATCTGTTGTCATTGTATCGCTTCCCTTTATTGTGAGTGATAAGAAAAATTGTCAATAGTGCACATTCAAAATCTTTTTTTAATGTATTGTATACTTTCACAGGTTTTCTCTGTTTATGATTGATTATTTGATAATGACTATGTGTTTCTAGAAGGAACGGTTGAATGATTATATTTTAAACGTGTCCAGAAGCAACGTCGAGGGAGGATTCTGAATACGCATTAATAATCCTAGCAGATGTAATAATTATATGCTAAGTATAGTGCATTTATAGTAATGTAACAGTTATGTATAGATTAATATATAACTATTACATCACTATTACGATGTGTCTGCTAGGAGTGTGTAGTGCTATAAGAGTATCATGATGTTAATAAAGATTTTATTTGATACTAGCTTTGGTTCTACTGTTAGTACCACCAGTTCTGTACTATTATTATTACAGTTGCTATTATTAGGGTTTTTGATTTATATACAGGAATATAACAAAACAAAATCAGCTTTATTTACAATACTTTGTACGTGATTGATTAAAGTACAAAGATATATTTTATTAACTCTGTTATTACTGTGACGTAGTTCACTATTTTCATTCTGAATTTGTCTGTTGTAATAGCGATGCACTTTTCTGATGCAGTAAGTATTCGTTATTATCTAAAATCGTTTGACATTCTTGTATATTATGTATAATGTGCTCCAGTTTCCAATGCTTCTTCAATAGTGCGTGCTCCACATTAAATAGACCATACTGAAAACACTGTATCTGCGTACAAGTAGCTGTAGTGTGAAGTTTCATTCCCAATTCATGTATTAAGGTTTTCAGGTAATCTTCGTACTCGTTTAAGCAGACAATTTCTGTGAAAAAGAATTGGTATGGTTGGAAAGATTTCATATAGATTGGATATATTACAATGAATTGTAGAAATACCTAGCGTAAATTCTGGTGATTCAAAGTCAATGCATTTTATTGAGTATAATACTGGAACTTTGGAAGTCGCTGGTCTAATTGGACCTTGCACAGCTAACTCAAATGCTGCTTGACTTTCCATGTCCACTCCACATTGTCTGAAAATATGTAGTCAATGTAAATAATGGTTATATGGTGATAACGTGCAGGTGCATTTATATTTTAAGAAAATGAAACGTACTCAAACATTTTTCTTTGGTGAGATGACTGCATCGATGCACAAATTTTATCAATCATATGCCTTCGGACGTGCTTATATGTGGATTTCTCAACAATTTTGCCTGATATAAAATAATTATTTGTTGCTTGTCCTAAAGTGCCTTTAAGCTTGTAGTGCCGTGTGGTTTTTGATTCCAAGAGCTTATAAGCTATTTTCGTACCTTTACCTATTCCAGTGACTACAACACCTGATGTGTCTTTACCAGGCATAATTGGACAAAACAGTTTAATATCTTTTTCCTGATAGCGTGGCCCTGCAGCCAGAATATTATCTGCAAAACTTGGTCTCGTTGACACTGTCATTGGCTTATTCGTCTCACCCTCAATGCACACATATGTCGTAGGTGGACGAACATGCATTTCATTTAACTCTGTAAAAGATTAAACGTCAATTAAAGAAACTTAATACACAAACATGGTTAAAACCGCATTCCTAACCTTTACACAGCAACTTCTGGATGGTACTTCTCATAATCCTAGAACTAATTCCAGCTGGCTTATAAGAAATAAAAATCCCATTTAGCAATTTCCATGCTATACTGGCATCTGTTATCAGAGTTGTGGTCATTTTGAATATTATTTAAATATAAATCCCATTGATAACTAAACAATATGTGTTGATGTATTTACAAAATGTACTATTTATCGTATCAGTCTTGTAGCTACTACATTCTGCAACAAGAACAACAATTTTAATTCTTCTTTGACCATTACTAAAATATTCCACTAAATAATTACTATACCATCAATATTTTTGACACTCAAAAATATAAGTGCGCCGTTCACATGTATATTTGAAATTTTCGGCAAATCCAAATCCATGTAAGTCCCGATAGAAGAGGTAGAGGTCACTAGCGTCCCTTCAAGAAAATCTGCAAAGTTCGTACGATAACGAAACGCAACTCTAAGAAATCATCAATTTTAATACATATCTACAACTCACAGATCACTCTATAAATATCACACTTGCATATTACACAATAAAGAATCTCTCAGTCTTATCATTCCTAATCCAATAGTTCAAATAATAATATTATCATAAACTCACAGCAAAATTAAATTTAACTGACGCCTGACTAACAGCGTCTTTCTTTCACAAACACTTTCTGCTCACGAATAAATAATATAAATCTATTAGAACGTATTAATAAAAAAATTATTACGATCCTTAAGAAGAAAAAGCGTATCTGAAAAGTCTGATAAACTAGATATTTCACAACTAGAACCATATAACCAGCAAATGTTCATCGTACGAAACGCTTGCGGAGGAAGATTAAAAATTAAAGGTAACAAAAAATCAACGACATCAAACTAAGTAATAAGTGACAACTATCTAGCTACTATCTATTACATCCACGATATGCTCGAATAAGATGAACATCTACGTAAGCGCGTGAAAGCCTGTAGAATTGAACATGAACAGAGTATAATTTACGACAGAGTACACTCAGCGTACTTAGAATAACCATAGAGATTCGTTAGCGCGCTTTATGCGGAATACGAGCGTTATTTCGCAAATTGCAATCCAGTGATTTATGGAAGGACGCCTATTACATGAACGAGCCACACGCAAGCACTGATCTAAATACACTGTTAAGTGCATCATTAACGAGAATAGATATGACACCCAACGTGAGTCTGTATAAACACATGGGGAAATGAAGAGTTCGATAATTAAATAAATCGCACGTATCATTATTGACAGTGATGATTGAAGGTTAATTAAAGATAAAATATTAATTTATTAATAAAAGAACGGAGGTAAAAATAGCTTCACTTTATTGTTTCAATTATTCCCTGTAATTCGTTGCACATCAGAATTGCATGGCTATAGGATTATTGACGAATTTCTTCTTGTGCCTTTTCTGTAGTTACATGAGTAGCGGTAACGTTGGCACCAGAGGTGGGATGGACAAGGTGCAGAAGAAGTCCGGATGGTAGCAAACGTACCTCCACGGTGGATTTACGAAGGCGGTCGCGATAACAGGACCCACGTCACGCGGCGCAGCAACCGCGTTCGTGTCTGACCGCTCTCAGTCGGGTTCAAAACAGCGTGGAGTCACAGTGCCGAGTGGGTGTCTTGGTTTCTAGTGAGAGAAATAAAATTAAGATCGCACCCTGTGATGCCAGGGTGACAGAAACCAAGATTTCGACTACAGGAAGCTGCAGTCAGCTGGCTGGGGCAGACCTGAACGAGATCGAGGAAAACAAGATTTGGAATCGTTGACGTGCTCGTTGTGATCGTCATCGGGGCCCACGTGGCTTCGGGAGGCGTTGCCGAAACTCTTGTGTCAGTTCAAGGACATCATTGGGACATCAAACGGACCCCTTGAATTTGAGGTTGGAAAAGACGAGGTTTGCTTGTTGATAATTGTTGGGGATACATGTAGATCTTTTGGATTATGGAGATTTGACGGTTGTCAGTGTTTTAATGCTGTGTTCTGAGATTTATTAATTGGTTTTATTTTCGCAAATTGTTAATGAGAATTTTAAGAAAGTGTTTGTCCGGTGATGCACGCAAACTTAGTTTTTTGTGGTTTTTATTGTACTGGCTGTTACAGTCTAGTGTAATGACTGTTGAAAATTGGTATTAAATAAAGCACTTATTAGTTTATTCTGTCGTTATACCGGTGTGACTATGTAAAACTATAGTGGTATAAAAGAAATGTTTAATGGAGAAATTAGTGGTGGGTATAACACGTGTAAAAAGTTTGATTAAATAATCTGATGACATTTTCATAGAATGACCAGATATTTCAGTTAACGTGAAAGTAAATTACGGGATGATTGAATGCGAAAGCTGATGAAAAATAGGAAACGACACGGTCGATTGATTGCTTCGATTTGAAGTCAATATCAATTGAATTATTTTTCATTGTTTCATCGATATACATAAAATTACCAACGACAGACAACAATATGGAATAAACATTTGAAAACTTATAATTAAAAGTTACAAGCTTACCAATGAATCGAATTAAAATTATTGTTATTTAATTCTAAATATATCTCGAAATTTGATCATTGGTATTGAATCGATGACAGAAAAATTTGCAAACTATCATGAAAACGCGTCCTCGGTATCAACGTAACAAAAACATTAGGTCCACCGAAGACACTGCTACCTAACGTCAAGTCATTCAAACGTTAAGAGACTAAAACATCCATATCCTATGCAACGTCTCTCGCAATTATTTCTCCAAGTAATTCGTGACTCTAACAATAATAATAATTCTCTCTAAAAAATTGCAATCCAATTAAAAGATCGCGATTGCACTTCCATTTAGTTATTCGTGTCTCCAAATGTCTGTGCAATGTCAAAAAAAAAAGTCACGAAATTCGAAACTTATTTTTTTGCATCTTTATCAATTTTCTTATTATCACGATAACGACGTCCTCGAATCTCGTCGAGGCCGATCAGACGAGAGACACGCGGTTCCGTTTGTCGAAAACAATTTTTTTTCTCTCGCCTTCCATCTATTTTCAAAATACGAGCTTTCGTATATTCGTGACTCGGTCGGATGTCACGACTTCGCCGGGACCCAAAAGCCGTACTCGATTAGACGCCTAGAAAAACGTGGGAGTGAATCGTCGTCCGGCCGATGATTCGCGTCCCTTGTCGTTTCGTGTCTTTACCCCGAAGGGAGTCACGTTTTCTAAGAACTCCTCGCCGTCTACCTGACGTTCTGGTTTTATCAAGTTCAACCGGCACTGTGTGAAATCAACGGAAGAAATTATTGTCCGCGTCCTGACGTGTAAATATCATCGTGAAAAGTGGCATCTGTAGGGATAAAGGTAGACAAAGAGAACCATTAGAAACTTCTAAGACAACCGTTCTGACGATTTAAAATCAAGATGGATATCGAACGGTCATTTTGAATTGATATTTATGTTAGATAAATTCAAATTATTTTCAATACAACTATTAACAATTAAATAACACGCGTTTGTTGTTTCTTGTTTTCATTTGCACATCTTGTCAACTGTCAATATTTTTTTTATCGTACAAAGAGACAAATTTAACATGGATTTATTTTTTGTGTTATACAGAACAATAAGATATATTTATTAAACCCTATCAGGCCTAGAAATTTTGTGTGAGTTGTGTGATAATAATTTTTTGTCTTATCTATCACGATATTAAATGCGATATTGTAATTAAGAAAAATTTTTATCTTTTTGCCTTTATCGTTTGTATATTGAATTTAATCGTTAATCAATATTATATTTTTCATTAATTAATATTAACACACTCCATACGTGCCTTATGGTAGGGAGTAGTTTTGGTAAATTTTTGCAAGAAATCTTCATTCGTTAACCAATGTCCCATTGGTGTCGAGCAAAGATTTGCGAATTTTTCTTGAAACGCATGGGAATCTAGGTTGAATAATTTTCTAATCTCAAATAATGATAAGAGGAATGATAAGATGGGGAAAAAAAGTTTTGCTCAATTCAATCGTCAATCTCGCTCGTAAAATTAGCTTGAACTGTACAAATTGCGAAATGAGAATTTTTATAAAAATTAATGTAATTCTACAGGAAGTCCCTTGGTAATTGTGGCCGTAAGTAACAGGAAGCTGGAAACGTCATGATGAGGCCTGACGAACTGATACAGAGCGAACGACGAGCGACCGAAACGATGTCCGAGACGTCGGAGGGCACCGGGACGACCAGCGTCTCTGGTAAATCAGGATTTGAGAGTCGCGAGGAATTGCGCGATGTCGCAGCTATTCTTGGGATTGTTAATCCCGAGGAATTGCATCAGGATAGATTCCGCGTTGATCGCCGAAAATTGGAGCATATGCTACTTGGTAATTATGAAAATTTCTATAAATACGTAAATACGAAATTAATTTCGATAACCAATTTATAATTGGTCTGAACTAATGACACGTGGTAATAAAAGTAATTGATAAAACGATAAAATACATTTTGAGAGGACCCTGAAAGATTCAAGGACGTCTGCTTACAATAATTTTCTTTTCATCTCATTATTTCACACGTCGTCCATCTTTTTTCGATTTGTCCGAACGAGCGTTAATTTCGCAGGCAACAACCTCGTCGCTAAGAATAGCATGAAAAAAGGAAGAAAAAAAAAAAAAGAAAAAGGAGATTCACGTAGGTAAACACGTAAATAATAATGCAGAGACGTCCGATATGACGTAAACGTCCTTTTAGTTGGACGAAAAAGCTACGTATACGAATCTGTCAGGAACTGTTATCGATTTGAAAAATTTCTCGAAAAGTTCGAAAGGAATTTGAAAATTTTGCTTTAAACGAAATTAGCCATCCCGGCAGGCCCACTCGTCCTTGCCAAAATTCATATTTGCGAATGTCCCTGTGGTTAGTTGGATTTCTTTAAGCAGCGGGTTGCTTGTAAACAGAATTATTCGAACTGTCAAATCCGTGTGTTGTCGGGACCATCAGGAGAATAGACGTTAACCTACGAGGTCGCTCTATTCCTAAATTCTATAATGACAAACAAACATCGGGCAGTTCTGCCATTGTTTGGCAATTTCGAAAATTTCGGCCAATTCGCAGTAGACCCAGTTATTTCCTTACGATTAATGGGATACATGGAACAAAGCAAAGATATAAATAATCATGCATAATTATATTTCCTATACAATTTTACTAACAAAACATTACATAAACATATATCTACAATACGTATAAGACACTTACTCAACATACGCGGCATATTATTTCAGGTGACAATGAAGCGCCTGAACCAGCCGACACCTTTTTTCATAAGGTGAGTTATCACGCGCTATGATAATTAATATAATTGATTATTACACGAAAGTACGAAATTTTATTATATCAAAATTTATTTCACCTACCTGAAGGAACCTACCTGTGCCGCGCGTGTAGGTTATCTGCTGTACAGAAATATCCTGATTGCGAGTACGTTGAAGTTCGCACTGAGGCATCCGTGCACTGTGTATAATAATTGTAAAAGCAGGACAGTATGATTAGCAGGAACTTGCAGAGGTTTATATATAAAAACAAGAGGCTGAGGGTGATGATAAACGTCAAAGGGGAAAACTAAAAGCAAAGATGCTTATCCCGATGCCGAGAGTCAATTTTGTGTTACGAACGACGAAACGGCCTTAGAATAAATAATTATATTGAATTTCAGCCATTCTCCTCGATCAAATGAAATTCAATGCGGAAGTCGCAGGACGCCGTTCAAATCGAATACGCGAAGATACGCGTTACGAAAGATCTTTCTGTATTCATATATAAATATGATTATTCATATATCGTACGTAAATACATATATACACGATTACTATATACACTTTTGTCAAACACGCTATTTGTGGTGTGGGTAGAATTGATGATCCACGTGACGTCATTGGTACTGCCTACGTCGTGCTTTTCCATTATTTAAGTTAGGTTAGGTTTTTACCCGTGTCACAAGTTGATCGACTCATGACTTTATTTATAAAAGTGATCAAGCGAATTGCCAGCCTAGATGGACTTGTATGATAAAACACAACGTTCGGCAAGACTGTGTCTTATGAGTGCTCGCCTGACAGTGATATCTGCTAAATTATATGATGACATAAAAATAAGACATCGATCGTCAATTTTGGTCACCTCTTTTGGTTCATTAATCGTGCTAAAAAAAGAGACAAATATTATCTCATTTATGCTTCGCGTTTACCTCATAGCACGATGGAAAATAATTTTTTTTTTATATACGTCACGTATGGACCAAATATGACGTAGCGATAAGAATTATTTTTCATCGTGCTATGAGGTAAACTTAAAACATACCTATCGTATATTTTGATAGGGCATCGACGAAATAGTATTTATATCATTTTTAGAACGACTAGCGAGGCATCACGAGTAATTAACATTGACGATTGATGCCGCTTTTTTATGCCATCATTTGATTTTGCAAGTATTACGTCAAGTGAGCACTCATAAGACACGGAGTCTTACCGAACGTTGTGTTTAATAATACAAGTCTATCTGGGAGACTTTGATTGGGTTATTAAAATCTGGTTCAGATATATAAATGACTAAGGACACTTGGATCGGCTTACAAGTGGAATTAAAATAGTAATTTAGATTATCGGTTGCACCCAGTGACATCTTTTTACTCTGCTGTCCTATCAGAAAATATTGTGATAAGGGTTATCTATACTTATTGCACATATGGACCGAAGCTTCGCGTTTCTGATATAAAATCTAACTGTGATTATGCGATCGGTCTCTCTGTTGAACTCTGCGTCCTTCCCACTGTGTTGAAACGATCATAACGCGTTACGAGTGCATATTATATACCGATAATGATAACATACTGACACACTGCTAATGCGCATGCGCGCGCAACCTGTTTGCACTTGTTGTTGATAGACGCGGAAAGGACTGATACAATTAAAGAAAAGTTTGTTTTATCTTCGTTACGGGAAGCTTATCACTATTCGCATGATCCAAGCGACATTTGATCATTTTACTAGTTTTGATTGTTAATTATCTGCAGGATAAAAACACATTGGGTTTTGCAGACGTGAAAAAAGTTGTAGACTATACGGCTATGTATGTTCGCATTTGAATCTTCTCACAGCTACGCGTGTTCTGCGCATGTCGCACTGCGCAGGTAGATGGCGCCCGATTGGTATTCGTTACTCGAAACTGCACTGAATGCATAGTTTCTCTGTGGAATATAAGATTGTAGGATTTATCTGACAACATTACACTGGGATGTAACGCGGAAGCCATTCGATCGATCATGGAGACTTGCATAAGACTGATCTACAGGTACGTTAAGCTATCTGTCTTATGTGTTATGCAAAAGTGCGTGTCTAGACTCACGTAGCTATTCCCCCGCTATGGCCATCTTGGATTTTCGTAACTCTTCAAAGGTTTTGACTTCGGCAGTACATTTCGTTCGGTCTTTTTCTTTAGAAGATAGACAAAAGCAATTATAGCAGCTTGTGTTGTACGATGAGTTATTGCAACTGATAAGAATATAACCACAACGTTTCCATGCAGTAGTAACTAATTACTGATACGTATGTATATATGTATATGATATGTGGCTAATGCATCAAGTCAATGACAATGTTTCGCGGTTATCCGTACCATTAATTGTTGCGTTAAGTGAAACTTGGAAATACATTGTATTTTTATGGGATCACTTCGGGTCTTTTGATGTTATTCATATATAAATTATCATGGGGCTGTCGACGCAGTTGACATTTGAAAATAATATTTTCATACGCGTGCGAACGTTGATTATCTTAATGTGATTAATTAATACTGGACTGTTATCAGAGTCGATAAAGTATTGTTGTTGTCATTGTTATCATATTTGATATTTAAAATGTTATACACAATGCGTTGTATACCATTGTATTGTCTTTGTCAAGTATTTGATGTGATTTTCAAGAAACAACAGGGATTACCTTAACCCGTGCACTATCGCTCTTTGCGATAATGCCTTAATAACGAATCGATAAAAGTGTGCGTAGCCAGAGATCGATCCTCGACTTTTGAGGTTAATCGCTGCTAAAGACTGCAGTCGTTTGGTTTCTTACGTGTAGGTCTACGTACTGAAGATGGCTAATGAAATTGGGATTTAACATTTATTTTTTTTGCAAAATCGTACTGTGCATTGGATTGACTCGCTGACACGTTATACTGGGTGGAATTTGAGAATACAAACTTTTGACGGAATACCCATGAATTGCACAACGTTAGAAAATTTGTATAGCATCTCAGGGAAAATGAATTTAGCACGAAGGGGTAATGTATATTTTTGCAAGGATTTATCCGTGCAGATTTTTTGGCCACTCGCCAGACCTAAGTTACAGATATTCTTGACTATGCTCGAGCGTAGCAAATCGCATTTATTTGAATTGGATTTCAATTTATTAACAGTCTCTCGGAATAAATCGCACTGGCGCTATTTTCTTTTTCAAATTTTTCACGTCATTCGATCCTGCAATTACTCTCTTATGCCATTGACGAATAGCTTCCCGATTCTTCTTCGTTACACTCGTAGATCAGTAGAACAACCGATCTTTTTACTGATCGATGTCAGTTGCGTAATTTGGGAAATTCCAAGATACTCAGCTGTTTTTCGTAAACGCTCATAGAAATAATCAATATACGTATACATACTAAACCCACAAGGGGACATTATGCATAGCGGAAATTTTGAATCAGGCGATTTCTAATCTCGCGTGATATAAAATCGGATGGTAATATATCGCAGCATCGGCTGACTGTTTACTTGACGGTTCTTGATGTTATCGCCGAAAACTAAAATTTCACTCAAAATTACTACCTCGGATCGATACTTTCTAATCGACTCGTTTATAAACTCACCATCCGTTCTTGCGATTCTTCGATCGTGAAATAAAAATGGCGGCTGTTCCGCTTCGCGATAATGTTGATGACCCGTGCCGAAATACCGGATGATTGTTTTTACAAGAACATTTTGTTGCCATTGTTGAGTAACACTCGACGGTCGGACGAATCGTTAATTGTTGTTTGAGTAATCGTCTCGAGATCGCCAATTCCACTAGATCGATCGTACGAAAGAGCAAAAGCAATGCAATTCCATAGAAAAAAATTGTTAAAAAAAAAATTCAAAAATTCTTATTCCGTCATGCCCATATAAGCGATGACGTAAAATATTTTAACTGATTCATTAATATTGTTCGGCATCGAGCGTTTCGAATTTAATGAAAATATTCGCCAACGATTTTATCCGATTACAAGAAAAATAAAGAATAATCTCAATAATCGATCGCTCGCACGACTTATTTACGTGCTAATATAAAAAACCGGTATAATACCAATAAATATATATATTACTGGTTATATTACCAATGAATTTTATTAACACTTATAATCGATCGCACGCGTCATATACGAATGCCCACTTCCACGATTTTCGTCCTTGTTGAGATTATGCGAAAATTAATCGTACACACGTTACGTCTATTTAAAACGTGCTTATTTGTTTGTTTGTTTTTTTCACAGAGAGAGAGGAAACAGCCTCGAAATTATCGGCGTTTAAATCATTATTAATTGTTCAGTGTCATCGAACGCCATATTCTTCACGGAATCATATTTTGCAAACTTTGCCTGTGTGACTAAGACATTACCCTACCTACTAGCCATATGTATATTCCTGTCTGATGCTGCCTGAATATAACCACTATATCATTCCATATATATGACTTATGAAAATAAGAATATCCAGGAATAAAAGTATATCTCTTTTATTCCCATGGGCGTACCCTTGTAAAATAACTCGAAAAGTGAAAAATGGCCGCCGTGATATTACCATCAGTACATGGTCCAGTTTACCTAAGACATATATATATTTGAAAAATACATAATATCCCATATACATGGCAAAAGTTTTATATCTCTCAGGAAACGTCAGATTTGTATCTGGTATCGATATACGAAAGGAAAAGAAAAAAAATCTTGAGCAATGACTCAATGCAAATTTCGATGCAATTGCATTGGAAGAAACCTCATAAATATTGACTCTCAGCCGAGAGTTTCGTCAGAATTTTTCCGTGAATACTTTCTTATAAGCATTTAAACGCTAAATCATACTTGAAGTATGTTACTTACACGCCGGGACACTTTTATACAGAATTCAAGCATAATATCGACATATGTTCGCGTATCCACGTGCATCACACGTAACGTGATCGTGTATTCACATATGTACGTCCACACATGGAATCGTGCGCGGGTAATAATTATGTAAGGACAGTGTAACCAATGACACCGCAAGGGAAGGATGATTATAAAAAATGTAACGCGAAGGAAAATTTTTTGGAAAGTTTTGAGTAACCAAAAAAAATATTTAATTTTTTCTCTTGATTTTTTTTTATCATTTTTTTTTTTTAATACCATGCAGGTATACCGTTTCTCATTTTAATCTTGACTATATTCGTCAGTCACCCTTCTTTATTTACGTTTTCACTTGTTCATCCCGTCTTGTTAGCATATTCCAATATTGACTGGGTATATCTCGGGTCTTGGATGATCCGCCAAAGGGGAATTCGCGACGAGGCGACGCCGAGCGCATCAAACCGTTGAAATCGAACCCCCACGTATGTATTGCGCGTCGACACGTTTTTCCGGAAATGCGAACGCGCCGTGATGCATGGTCTTGAAATTGGAGAACGTGGTAGGACAACTTTTGTTCACGTTACCATGAACGCTTAAATTTTGTACGTAACAATGAAATGGCAGTGGTTAAAAAAATTAGTCAGTACGACGATACTGGCGCTTCTTTTTTATCACTGTGAATATATATCACGTAATGGCACGTGCATGCTGATTGGTTAACCAGAAGAACAGGCTTGACGTTTTTTTATTTCTGCCTGCCAAAAGCAGAGCAAGTGGCTGCGTCAGTGTTACAAATACAAAGGTAAGTCTCGTAGAAAGACGTAAAAAAAAAAAAAAAGAAACAACAACACGTCGACCTAGCTAAATGTCAGATGTACGATCAAAGAATCAAAATTCGATTTGGAATATGTCAAACTTTCGTGATATCTAGGCAAAGGAGGTAATTTTTAAAAAAATTGGTTTCTCATTATCAAATTCTTACCTTTATCGTATTTTTAGCGAAAGATCCTTCTTTCGATATAAAATACATTTCGAGTCGTCTAAGTGTACCAGCAGATTACAAGGGAATTGCTAATAGACATTGAAAAAAAAATTCATCCGCCATTGACCACGCGCAGTGTTGCCAACTGATGCTGTGCTTCATCAGTTGCATATACACGCTGTCGAATCAGACAACCATCCGTCGGAAACAAATGGCTCTGTATATTTTGCTACAGTATTGGATATAGCAGGTTCTATTTATAGATGCGAATGAATATAATAAAAGAAGAAGAAAAATATTAATTTACAAGCAATTTGAATTAAATGTCCATACATCATAATAAATTAAAGGATTTATCATGCGAACCAGTATATGAGTGGTTCGTGATACTATTTTTGTATTATGATTCCTTTCAGCACGAGATTCAGTGGTATTTATAAAAAGGAAAAAAGATAAGAATATTTTTTTTTCGAATATTAAAACAACCGATCACCGTGTCCAGTTTTCACGTCGTGTTTCATTTACAAGGCGATACCGAATAATTGTCCGCGTCAGGTTAGGTTAGAATGATCAATGGGAAATCGTGCCTGCGGCATTTATTACGTATCAAGGATATTCTCGTATCAGGAATAAATGTATCGCAACGATGTTACGTATGTGAGGACGTGACGATCGGATCATGGCGGTAGGTGAATAACGTTTGTATCAATGTTATACGTGGTTGGACGTCTTACGTCGTCATTTTGTACAACCAGAGGCCAAAGGCTGACGCAACGCGTCGTTACGCTCGGTAGATTTCCGTAAAAGTTTCCGTAAGGTCTGCGTTATCGTTGTACGCGTCAAGAAGGAAAGGACCAGATAAACATTGTAGTGCAACGAGTTAAGCCTTAAGCCTGGTACGCAAGTTCATCCGATAGACATTCCCGTACAGTCCGTTATGAAAGTATTCGGATTTACATACGATTGATTTATCCGACCGTTGACTTACGATTTCTTTTTTACGGATGGATAAGTTAAAATATTTTCTTTCAAATTGAATAATTTTTCATTGAATCTCAAAATTAGGCTTTTTTTTTCTTCAAATTTACCGCCACACCTCGATTCGCCTCATTGCCCGCGATGACTCCTGTCTCGCGCACTTCTACGACTCTATTAATATCATAGGTGGAACGAAACTGTTACTTATATATGACATAATTTTAGAACAGTACATACGGTACAAGCGTGGCGACTACGTGCAATGTAAACGACAAGTCAGGCTTGAATATTAATATCAAGGTGAATTCGTATAGGTGATCAGTGGTGGAATTAAAAAAATTTTTTTTTACAAATTCGAAAAATTTAATTAATGAATTTATCGACTTCTCCCTTATCGGCTTTTGATTTACTTATTATTCGCGGGACGACCGCGATTTATCGTTACATGAAAATAATCTGCGTCGAACCGGATGATCTTTCTCGAGAATCGATAATAAATATTTACTTGACACACTGATAGTCTTGAACTTTGTTTTCTTCCTTTTCTTTTCTTTTCTTTTTTTTTTTCTTGATTTTTATTTACACATTTTTTCTATTATTTCCTGCTTCTTCTTCTTCCTCTCCGCAAAATTCTATTTTTATCCACTCGAAATTCTTTATTATTCAAATAGAACGCTTCTCGCTCGATTAGCTCAATTTGTAGAAAATAAAAATATTTTATATTTCCACAATATTCTTGGCCTCGACCGAAGGTGCCTTCACACTGTGTACACACCCACGCGAAATAAACACATGTGCACATATTGCGTTAAGGATTTTCTTGTATTTGTTTCGCGACGGCGCTTACGCAACGTCAAAGGCCGATCCGCCAATTTTGGAATCGATCTCGAATCCCCATCCCGAAATACACTTTGGCAAATAAATATAATAACAACAACTGCGTCTAGAAATTATGCAATTGCACGTAAGAAAACGAAGGTCTCACTATTTTCTCGACGCTCGACACGACCCGTGAACCAAACAACAAGGCTAGTTTGCAATTCCAATCGACTTTGTATATTCGCTTTGTCATATGTCACTCATACAATTTCTGGTATCGATACCAACAAAACCTACATGTACGCACGGCTTACATATCCCACATGTACAGATACGTATCATGCGCGTAAGCCTCTATCTGACTTAAGTCGCTGCAATGCGATAGCCGATTCTGACGTAAGAGCAAACAAACGAATTCACGCTGATTCAAAGAAATATTTTTGAATTTGGCGCGTTTAAATATCTCACTCTTGTTCATCTGACGTATCAGTTTACTCAATTGATATTTCTCATATATATTCTTATCCTAGATTGTTTGCTATGTAAACACAATATAGCGTATTACGTCACGACGTATAGTTACGTGTATATATATATATTTTTTTTTTTTTCGAGCAGACTAAATCGGGTCGTGAGGGGTCTGTGAATTTTTAGTGTGCAAAAATAGAAATTGCACGGAGATTCACGTGACCCAGAAAGATATTGCGAATTCTTATCGAGGGCGAATTTTCGAATTTCAAATTTACGATTCCTTTATGGAAAGAACAGAGAATCGGCTGTCGGGTCATTCGAATCCTGGAACCTCGTAAGACCTTTGTATTTATGGTCTGCATTTATGGGTTTATCGGTACGGGGTAATTGGTACGTCATGCTGGTTTTTATTTGGTCAATTGTTTCTTCCACGTTATTTCACTCAATCTTTCGATACATTTAATAAGCTTATTAAGGTACGAGGGTTATTTGTTTTTTTCGAAAATTTTTCTCAAGTCACTCGTAAATTTTTACGAGCATACGTATACGTTTTGTAGGTTAATTTTGAAAATAAAAAAAATTGAAAATTATTCGTAACCGTATCAGACTTGTTTCTATGGGAGGGTGAAAACGTGGCTGATACCTCTTACTGGTGTAACCATAAATTAATGTACGTTTAAATGGACTATAATTATTTATCCGCGGCGATTAAAAATATGCACAATTAAATGCAGGATAAACAATGGTTAATTGAAATTATGAAAATTATCATTTAATCGTTAATTTCATACGTTGCATAGAAATCTAGCCGGTAGAGCTATTTAGAATGACTTTATATATAATTGGGGTAAAACTATCTACTTGTTATATATTTTATACCCATCTGAAGTACGTACTGGGTTAACGTTAAAGGGTTAGAATTAATATAAAATGTTTACGACCCTTAGAAATGCTAATTACTTTATAACCTCTTTGGCCATATCCTTGATGAAATACAGGGAAATTATAAATCCTCTTACACCCCGCACCCCCACCCCCACTTCCACCCAGCCTGCCATACAAAATGCACATTTAATTACACTTCATCCCTTTTGCTTATATTCGGCACCTTTTGCTTTTCCATCGTCAAAGGATTTTCAATTTTCTTTTCATCCAATAGGACCATCCCGTTCCACGTACACTCTTGATCCATCGTTATCAATTTACAATGTCAAAGCAATTCGTTTTCTAAATTTTTTTGTTTCAAAATTTAATTTATCTCAAAAAATTACTCACGTTACTCAGTTCCGGACGAATCGAACAGTGGCGTTTATCTGATACTGTAAACAGATACCCTTATCGGAGTACAGCTATTAATACGGTGTGTGCATATATACGTAGTGGAAAGATAAAAAGTGACGCGTGTAGGTGTATATACCATTTGTTTTTATGAAAAAGATAGTGATGAAATTTTCAAAATTTCAATGGTCGTGAAAATGAATTTTTAAAAAATGACATTGCTCAATTACTTATTATGACGAAATTATAAAATTTTCAAGGCCAATTTCAATTATTTATATCCGGCCGTCCTCTCGATCATGTGTCATCGTTTACCTGGTGGTCTCTTATGAGTTTACGAATCGCCAATTTCACTCCGGGTAAGCAAGGCGAGACATGGTGGAGAGAGTGGGGAGGAAACCGTGACGCCAAGTGGGAGGCGGTTACCGAGACCAACCCGTTATATTATCTCGAATTAGTCAGTCAGTCGTGCCAGGGATCCCGTAGACGTACGGCAGTACCGCTAGTTGGTATTGTGAAAGGGAAAAAGAAAAAAATAAGTAAATAAAAGACGGAAAAATTGTTAATCCGTCAATTAAAACCCCCACGCGACATTGCGTCATATACAATATATATTTAATAGTCATTTGTATTAATATCCCGTAATTCGTTACTGGCGTGATCGCTCTCGGTTGTTTGCCTGTATGTGTAATTAATATATTTATTAAAAAAAAAAAGAGGTCAGCTAAATTCAGTGCTGCCAACAGTATGCGTACGACGATCTACCTTGGCGCGTGCTGTAGTCGCGATAATTTCGAGGTGGTGAAACTCAAGTAACCGGCGGTGGAATTTTTTTATTTCCAAAAAAAAAGAAATTGCTCGATTGTGAAAAAGTGACTGCTTCGTTGCTGACTTCATTCTTCCGCCGATCTTTACCCTTTTCTTTTTCTTTTATCACTGCACGTTATATCGTATATCTATACATAACGACCCACGACGATTCCCACGCGGAATCCGAAATAAATCCTTTCTTTCTCTTTGTCCTTACGCAAGAATTGGCAACCTGGTGAATATCCTTTAATAACGCGTGTGCAGAGCTTGTATACCTATATACGAGACATACGTATAATACACACGTCAGCTTGTGAAAGTAAGCAGAGTGATTCCTCGTTAAGCATACCGTGAAATTATATCGGGATATAATAATATATTCATCGACGTATATATATATATATATATAGATATATATCAAATAGATATCAGCAGTGCGTAGGTGCGTGACAAAATGGCACAGCTCTTGTGTTACATGTGATTTGGCTGGTGTCCTGTGATGACGTGAGTGTATAGGTGCGTGGATAAAAGTAGGAAAAAAATAAAATAAATAACAAAGTGGCGCACGGTCGAAGACTGAGGAAAATAAGAGAAAAAATTGAGACGTGAGATCTTCTAATAAATTCAAATTTCCCGCTCCTTCGAATTTCACCGTTTGAACGTCCCTTGCGCTTCGGTCTCGCGTCGTTTCACCCTCGGCACATCCGGACCGTGTCTATCGGCCCGACGTCCGTCTGTCAATCCTGACTCGAGGCTTCCGTTACGCAGCGAACGAAACGTCAAAAACGAAAGAAACACGACTGCTTGACAAACGGGATTTTACCGTGATTCTTCTGGCCGGCGACTTTCTCCCACGACACGTCGTCCCTTGAACTTCTTACCTCATTGGCTGTCGTTTACGACAATGACTGTGGTAATGGCTAATTACGTTATCTGTCACAATGTTGCATCAACACGTGTTACGTTGGCTTAGTCACCAGCGGGGTCTTTCGCTTTCCATCGACGTCGTCGATCTTATCGACGTACGTCGATATCTAGCGATCGACCTCGACGATTTTTATTATCGATACTAACTCGCACCTATCGATTGTTTCAGGTTATGGAGGAAACGAATACCTTTGTCACGTGGCCCTCGAGACTGAAAATTGGAGCGAAGTCGAAGAAAGGTAAGAAAAAATATATATATATTTTTATACATTCTATCAATATATTTTAATCGACTAAATATATATATATATATATATATATATATGTATTCACATAATCTAATATGTTTACGAGACTATTTTTGCGATAACAATTCCACTATCTTATTATGTAGTGGGAAACAACAAGGTGCCGTCCTTGACCGAACGTGTCACGTATTGTATGACAAGCCGAGTTTCCAAACGCGCAAATCTTGTCAAACTTTTCCTAGCGTCACTGCGTCACGACGGACTCGACAGCAGCTTGTTATAAAGACAGAAAAATACGGACAATGGCAATAAATATATATATATATATATATATATATATATATATAAAATACGTTTTCTATGCAAACGTACAAAATTTGTATTCACTCTACCCGCGTATTTCGCAAGAGCTTCGTCGTAGTAAAGCGATCGGATATCGCAGTTTTATTCGCCAAAGGTGCAACAGGTGGCTGCTGTTTCGAGCGGGACAATATTTCGCTCGACGGCAAACAAAATAATTTCGAGTTCTGTTATGTGCCGTGTCCGTCGGTTGGTTTGGTCTTGTGGCGCTTTTGGCGAATATTACAATATTTCGTTAAGCCGTTCGTTTGCTTGGACTTCCAAGACACATATCGCACTTGAGGCTCTCGAAAGGGGTTATTTAAAGGCCCGACGGCATTGCTCTCGGCTTACGTGCCAGGAAACGTACGCGTACGTTGTCGCAGCTTGCATTATGTGTACACATGGTATGTAGCACGTGCTATATATATATATATATATATATACACGTCGAATATACGAAGAGTACGTACAATTCCATAACAGTCTACGATACAGCATTGGATATTGAGATCGGATATATTTGCTTTTCTTTTCTCCACATATGGAGTATCACACGAGCGCTAAAATAAGTATCAGGAACCCGGCCGGCCCTCCGATAATGACACCATGCGTGACGTTTGGACAATAGGATTGCATGTGTTTATATGCACAACGCGTAAGAGGCAGAAAGGAGTCTGACGATGGTCCTTAGGAGGTCGGGTTGAGGTCGGGCTAACTTATTCGATATTATGCAAAAGTCGGATACTCGGTGAACTTATATGTTTTTAAAAAAATGTTACCAGCTTTGTATACTATGTGTATATACACATACATATATTTAAAAAAATTTGTTTATACGATCGGTGCAAGGGGGGTTAATCGTTTCGGCGATATGTCGACAGTTGTTGCAGTATGCACGAGCCACGATTATTATGTTTATTATATGAGTATTATGGAAACTTTTCGGTGATTCATTCCTTTCACGTGACCCGCCGTACAGCTGTTGCGGTTCCTTCCGAATTGGTTTCGCGTGACAGAACTTTTATTTCGCATGGTTTTGCTTTTTCTCGTCGTTTCTCGGGCACTTGCATTAATTTTTCTTTTCTTTTCTTCTATCGCGCGACGAGAGCTCGTTTCATCGGGAGAAGCAAATTTTGGGAACGTTCAACTCTTTCGAAAATTGGGTGTTTAACGATGCCGCTCTTTAACGCGTCTCGCTTCTAAGTCATTTAGATTTTTTTTTTTACCTACGGTTAATTAAGACAGTGGTTGTCAACTTGGACGTTGCTGGAATTCATTTTTTTTTTTTCAAATTGTATATCTAGTCTGGCAAATTTTCGAAAGAGAATATACACGCGCTCCTGTCTTTGTCTTTCTTCTCGAAACGTCTGCTCGTTCATTGACACGTATCTTGCTTTGGATTCGATACTATTTTTGGATCGAGCGCTGTTATTTCCGAGGGAAAAAGCAAACACGTAATTTCACTATAAATTTTGGTCATGACCGTTATCGTTGCTTACGTCATTTCGATTCTCCATGTTGTATCGGTACTTTTTGTATTTATTTATTTATTTATTTTTTCTTCGTTGGCACAGACACCGAAGCACAATGATAATTCGTAATTGCCACTTTGTCCGCGACGAACTAACCGTTAAACGTTCGGCATCCTTTACCCGTGATGACTATTTAAACGAAGCGTCAGCGGTGCTCAATCCGTGTCATCGACGTTAAAGTCACGATCACGAAATCACCTTTCTAAAATCATTCACTCGTCTCCGAGCTTCACCCGACCGTCTTAATAATAACGGTGACGTGCATGCGCCATTTTAAATTTAGCGTGTAGTACGAATTGTAGCCGCTTCGCGCGCGACACTCGAATGCCGTTTCGGGTAACGACGCTCACGGGTTCGTCACCAAGTCCGAAGAATTGATCGTTCATTGATCGTTCGAGATCTCGAATTGTCCACGTTCGATTCCTCCGATCGCGCTTTGTGCCTCGACTGTAATACGAAGGATCATTTATTATATCGACGCGTGCATCGTTCGATGAATGAGTCGTCGTGGTGACGCTCAGGTGGCGCCACTGGTTATCGTCCGGCCGTCGTTGCGGCTCGACGGTTACATTTCAATGGTGTTTGCTTCATTCTTTTCTTCGGCGAATCTCGCGCATGCGCCCAACGTCGCCCGGGCGCGGGTTGAACGTTGAAAAATTGCAGACGGTTGGCCTCGATTAAATTAGTGGATAATTAGTAAATAGTGCCACTGTAAAATTCCACTGATACTCAGCCCAGGCTCTCGGTCGGGGACAGTGCGTGTGTCCTGTCACGTAACCTGGAAATGTACGACGGTTCGTACCTTACATCGCTACTGTCATTTGTATATACAATGACGCGCGTTCAAACGTACGATCTTGGGCCTTATCATTTCTTTCCGCGGCTCTGGCGGTCGCACGCAATTGGAGCAGCTGTTTATCTATCCGATCGTCGCGCACGTTATATTTAAAATTTATTTTATTTACATTAACGTAATACGATATCGTTGATCCGTAATAATTATATTATCGAAAGGACATGAAAATTATGTTATTCACGAGTAATTAATTTTTTTTTTTATCTACTTTAACGTTTCATTAACTCAAACGCTCTTAAATGTATTCGCGTTCTATTATCGTCGTGGAAGTTACGCCATTTGGTAGGTATAAGTGTGCTAATGTATGCTTATCAGTTACATCATTAGTTGTTACCAAAGTATCGATTAGGTTGATTTGCGACGATAGATTATTTATGATTAATTATCGGGTCGCCTCGATCACTCGCACGATACTCTGTATCGTAGTCACTTCGTTTTATTAATGAATAACAGGGCTTGCACTCATTGTTATTGGTACAAATTATACAGACTTTTTCCTTACGAGCTACTGACTTTTGTTTTGCTCAAAAATTACCATTGAAGAACGTTATCTCGCACAAACTGCGTCGCCGTAATGTTTTCTGGCAAAAATTTGTGGGTCAGTTTAGCCAAATTTAATAGTCATCTTTTATAACGAAGTAAATCCGAATGACCAAGCAACGTATTATGCAAAAAGTTTCTGCATAAAAAATCACAATAACAATATATATATATATACTGTATATATATATATATACTATAATCAAGGATGAATTGTCCGTTAGTTATTTCCAGATGACACCTAAAGTTTCCGTCGCGTTAACGGCTCCTTATTGGGTCGGTCCGTGTGATCAATGCGAACGTTGATAAAATCTAGTTACGTCTCGATACGAACTGAAGCATAAGTAGCGAGAGAAGAGAATCGAAAACCATATGAGTTTTATATGGTAATATGGTTTGAAAAAAAAAAAAAAAAAAAAAAAAAAAAAAAAAAAAAAAAAAAAAAAAAAAAAAAAAAAAAAAAAAATATTTTTCGAGGACGCCAAGCTCTTGGGAATGATCGATGATATTTTTAGATATCAATTCAGAGCAGTAGATCTGGAACGAGAGTCGTGCGAAAACTTGGCCAGTAGCAAGGAAGGAAGACGATGCTAATGTGTGAGAGAAGCTGAAGGAAATAGATTCTGAAATGCGCACGAGGGATATGGGTAGGAAGAGAGGGGGAGAGAGAGATAGAGAGAGGTCTGGAAGGAGTGGAAGAAAGTGTATAAGAGAGAAAGGGAGAGAGACAGAGAGAGTGTACCTTGACCCAGAGCGACGAATGAAGACTTCGCGAAACGATGACACCGATTCGATGAGGCCACTTGTGCCTAGCATTTCTGGGTCATTGTTCTAATTCGGACTCGCCACTTGGTAACGTCATTGTGCTTATGATTTTTTTTCTTAAAAAAAAAAAAAAAATCATTTTTTTGTCTTCACGTTTTACTTCACTCGGTACCATCCCCCGTCACTTCACACTGAGCGAAGCCGCGTAGCTCGGCGCTCTCGGCGCCCCTCAGCTATAGTGCCAATTTCGCTCGCTCCGTAATCCATTCGCGTGTTATACCTGCATCTATTTTTAAGCGAACTGTTTTCGTTGCACGTGAATTTTTTGGAATTTTTCTTCTTGCCAATCCTACGTTATCGACCGGAATAGGACTGGTCAAAGCAGTTGCTCGCATACTGGGATTTAACGATACGCACCGAAGAGGACGACTGTTTTCATTTCGATCTGTGTGCGATGAAGGGTTTGTGTTTTATTTTTTATTAATTTTTTTTATAATAATACATAATATATAATTTTTTTAATTTATCCATTTGCAATTATCCGAATCTTACGTCTGCGCACGGTATCGAAATCGTCGTCCAAATCACTTGGTAAAATCGGTAAAAATTCACGAACGTAATACCGATTAATATTTTTATTCCGATTGCGTAAGTCGACCCACGAACGATTCTCGTCTTGGAAAACTTTCACTCGGGGAAAAATACATCTAATCGGTAATCGATAGCGCGGTGACGTCACGTTGCAAATCGTGCCATCGGGATCGTTCGTTGCAATTCAATCTGGAAGGCTTTCGAACAAAGTCATGGCATGAATCGCTCTGGCTCCCAGTTGTTTTTTCAAAATCGTTGTTAAAGTTCAAAATTGCCAGTCACGTGTTAATTTTGGGTAATGCCTACTTAGCGGTTTCACTTTTCATTCTAGGAATTGCGAAATTCTCACACGAGCCTCAGGTCCCCTGTGAATGAAAATGTGTTCGCTCTACTGCAAACACACAAATATATGTGCATATATAGCATGTTCATTTCTGGACAATATATATATCTATATCTATCTATACACGGGTGTGATGCGAAGCTGAATTTACTTATCGCGCATATTCCTCGGGACGTAATTAATTGTTAATGAGCAACGCTCACGGAAATTTGTAAACGAAGTGGTTTGCCCGAGGCCACCTTTGGATAACCTCTGACCTACGATTAATACATTGAGTAAGCCCAAGTCGACGATACGACTATTTCTGGAGCACGTAAACGATCCAGAACATTGTACTTTGTTGCATTCGTTTGAGTGGACTCTTAAAATCTTCTTTTTTTTCTCTCAACCATATATGTTAAGGTTGAGGGGTCACGGCGGGATGGAAGTGAGATCGTGACACGGCCATATTATTCGGTATTTTAATATCTTACGTGAACGCCCCATACTTTATCACGCACCCGCGAACGTTAAACGTAATTAACAAAAAAAAAGTCACATGCTCACCTGTCACAGGTTGGTTGTCTGTTTAGCACGTGAATTAATTGTGCGAATAACTTGTCAAATTAAATTTGTAAAGTTTGACACTCTGTGGGTCACATGAGTATCAGCCGATTGTATCTGAATCGATATTCAGATTCTTACAGGCGATCGATTCTCGCACTCGGTATACGAGACAGTCGGAGTAGTCCATGACACGACATTATCCGGGGATTCCCCGAGTATATGTACCATTGAATCCAGGGGAATCCCAGTCGTGGACGATTTTACCCATTCCGATCGCTGACCCGTCCAACCTCACTTTGTTTCCTATCGCTTCTACCGAACCCATGTTCGTTGAAACAGGGTCATCGGTTAAGTATTTTTCACGACAAAATGGCGACGAATTTCACGACACTTTGTCATCGCCAAGTTCTTCTGGGTTTGTACAATCCGCTCTGACATCGATACCTCGAGGACACGCTTGACTTTGCTTCTGCTCGATATATTCTCTCTTTTTTAAATCCGTCATCCTGTTTCTACCGAAAATAAACCTCCTCTCCCGCATACGTCTATGCAAATTCAGATCGTGTTATTCTGCATCGCTATGGACTCTAAGGTCATGGATATATCCTCGTAACAACGAATAGTATAAACGGACCCAAGATATGTCGTTTCTTCACGCTAATAAACATTTTCGAGGCAGCGTAAGACGCACGTTAAATACCAAAAGTGCGATTAAACTTTGGCAAACGCTCGTATCGATAACTCGTTTATCGTTCATACGAAAATCACGTCGAACGAGGTTTATACTTATCTCATTGTAAATTACGTCTGAACACGATTTGTTGTTTTTTTTTCTTTTTTCCTTTTTTTTTTTGCCAGTATCGACGATCCGCAAGACCCGTTTCTTTCGTTGACTTATACAGTCGATCCTCGATCAATTTTTATTTCGCATGCACGAACCCATCGATGCCGTAATATAATCGATATCTTGTTTTCCTACGATTGGTCGAGCCGAAGTCAGGCGAACACGTAGGTCGACAAACAGCAGACGTAACGACCGAGACGATTCGAAGGAAAAAGATGGCGGTGTGTGAATTGTGGGGAGGG